CCAAGCTACAGGATCGATGGTGCTGATGGAAATGCGATTGATCATTTAGGAGGCTGAGGTTATAGCGCGAGAGACTTAAGGTGGCCGACAGGAAGATGATAAGACGGCTAAACACTAATTGAAAAGGCGGTGCTTCCAAGTTCCATGTAATGTGACTTGTGCCCTGAGTTGTTGATGTTGCTTGCATGTTGGTTAGGTGGAATGTGCGACGAGGGAATCATGTCGCTCATGGTTGCAGATGGTGGTGATTTGCTTCCAGAACCGGTACTCGTTTTCCCATGGCAGATGATAAACTTCCGATGTGACCAATGAGGGTCTTCGGAGGTTAATATGCAACATGCGCAAATCTTCAACTTTTTTCTGACTCGTTACTTGCATTACCTCAAATGGCATGCAATCATTGCAATGTTGTTAGCGAAGTAAACAAAATGCGATTCTGGAAATCAAAACTCTCGAGCTAGATCTGCATCATTTCGTTTGTTTCACAAGAACACGAATATTTGATATATACAATCCTGGCCCTTATAGACGAACTGTTGGTTGATGCTATCGTATATAAGTTATGTGACACGACCAGTAGTATCTGTATACAGTAGTTATACACGTCCGAAACATTCCTCCGTGAAAGAGGCAAATTGCAATGTACCGAATACATGAACTGATAGATAAGAAAACGGTGAACTTTCAACCCCTCCAGAGGCAAGAATACAAAGAGACCATTGGTGAAACGGGACATGTGAAGGCCAAGATTAACCAGGTCCACCTTGTACCATTGTACGGACCTTTTTCCACGTGTCAGCGGAGACGACTTGAACATTCGGACCCTTCGCCCAACCAAAAGCCAACCTTCATCTACCTTACCTTGTTCAACTCGGTCGCTCAAATCTTTCACGCCTAGCTTGACAGAGCTCATTGATGGAAGATTGCTTTCTACCAGTAACCGAGTTAATTTTCAAGGATTAATTACATTCATTTCTCTTGAGCAAGATAGCTAAACGCTATCCTGAGCTATCAGAGTCAGCCCAAATGTCGGTGTAACACGAAGCATGCAAGCTTACTCAGATGTGTCAAATGAGAACGTGAGTGCCAATTTTGATATTTGACCAAGGTCACACAAGTTTGTTTTCGGTGTACACCATCAGCTTTGAACGTCCCAATAAATCGGAAAGCTACGGCGAGACACCATCCGCATTGGTTGCCGAAGATACCGACGTAGATGTCGTATCCGGCTCGTCCCTTAACCGTGAAGGGGCTAACTCGATTGACTAAAACTCTATCACGCCACCGACCCTTCCTGTTTATCTCAATCCTACTCGTATAGCTCCATACCCGTAAAATTGGGCTGGTAAAAAGCAGTCTGATAATGAGCCCGTTCGCCGTTCTGATATCCTGACTGGTCAAATTTTCTTCTTCCGTCAATCATATTGAACCCTTGAGTGTTGGCTGGAGTCCAAAATAGCTCGTCTAAACCCAGTGTGACAGCAACCCCAAATCGCCCGAGATCGTAGTCTAACGCTCTGTGTCGTGGCTGTCTAATATCTACGTATGCTTTATTTCAACCCGATCCATTGACATGATCATCATGGACGCGTCTTCTCTTAGCGGGCCTTTTAGCTTCTAGAGGTGAGCTGACAACGCTGCCTGTTCGAGAGCGTCGACCGCGTCCAAGAATATTGATATTGATTTCCTCTCCCTCCGTAAAAGTTAGGTCACCCGTTTCCCCTAGGATCTCTCGAGATGCTTCTTCCATCAAAATACCCAGTCCTATCAAAGCCGTCTCGTCCATACTGCGCCAATCTATAGACCCTCCCTCTGCAGTTGCACGAGAATAGAAATCTGAAGCATAGGTGTGAAGTGATTTTAACAGATCAGAGTCTGGCAACCCCTTCGGAGACTCTCGCTCATTTGCAAAATAGATGTCCGATTCGGCATACCTGGTAGGCGCATTTTTGCTCCGAAACAACACAGCTTCGGGAGGCACAGCGCTTAAAGAGGACGATGTAGTATCCCGCGTTGAGGAGACAACCACACTCCTAGGAATGAAACCTGCTGCGGAAATCCGACCTGAGCCATATGTTAATACGTAACTTTATCTCCGATGGATGTCGTGTTTGGAACGTTACCTGCAACAGCGTCGTAAACAGATGGTTTTCTTGTTCGTGAAACCTGGTCTCCCTCTATTGACTTTTCTTCAATATTGGGATTGATAAAAGTATTCTGTGAAAGCGCTTTTGAAGCCATAGTGTCCTCCAATTTTCAAATGTTGATGTCTAGAATGTGAAAAATGAATGATATTAATAACAATAATATTAAGAATCGTGAGAGCTGAGTTTAGCTAGAGCGCTCAGAAATTTAGCTCAGTATGACGATGATCAAACAACCCCGCGTAATTTGTACCGTCGCGTCGCAATCCTTTCAGACTTTACTCCTACATAAGCAACACTTCTCAGTGCATCATACACGTAGTAGGTATTGAAGTTGAGCTATATCATCACCACTTACTTATGCACTCCAATAAATCCTTCTCAAATACAAGATTCTATCGTACACCAGATGTATGAATCAATTGATCTTTGATCGATCAACGGGCAATCTTGGCCCAAATGCCTTTGCTCGCATTCAGACTACCCAATTGATTCACGCAATTTTACCAGCCCCAAAAATAAAATTCAATGGTGGTGAAAAGCCTCCGACGACTGTAGCTCCAGGTACGGAAGCTCGAGATTACGCGCCAGTGAAATTATGGGCGCACCAAACTGGAGTAAACGCCCTGTCAATAGATAGATTTGATGGAAAGATGTAAGAGTGAAATGAATAATAATACTTATTGAAACATCTGGACTGACGAGAAGATATATAGTCTTCTTTCTGGTGGTGCAGATGCATCTATCAAAGTTTGGGATCTTGATCAAATCCCCACCGGGGCATCAGAATATACATTCCGACCAACCGGAATGGTCCCCAGGTATTTTACAGATTTCTATCATCGTGCCTAACAGTTGGGAAGCATCCACTAACTCGGGTCTGCAGGAGTGCTTCCGCGCATCAATATGGCATTACACATCTTAGTTTCTATCCTTTCGATTCTGCTGCGTTTCTCTCTTCGTCGTACGATCATCATCTCAAACTATACTCCACGGAGACTCTCCAATTATCCGCGGACTTCGATCTAGACTCTGTAGTCTATTCACATGCCATATCTCCCATTGCACAACATCTTTTGGTGGCTTGCGCGACTCAACATCCAGCTGTCAGGCTCGTAGATCTTCGGTCCGGCGCAAGTACACATTCATTAGCTGGGCATCATGGAGCTATCCTTTCAGTCGCTTGGCATCCAAATGTTGAGCATATACTAGCTAGTGGGTGTGTAGATGGTACGATTCGTGTCTGGGATGTTCGAAAGAGTTCTGGCGCAGTGGGCTTATTGGATTTGGAAGATGCAATTGGGATGACAACTACACATGGGATGGCAGGTGGTCGATCAAGAGCTTCTGCCAAGGCTCATACTGGAGCTGTCAATGGTCTTACGTGGACGGATAATGGGAACTATATCATATCTGCAGCACACGATGAACGGATTCGAGTCTGGAATGCAGCTACGGGTGCGAATACTCTCGCAAGCTTTGGTCCAACAATCAAGAATGGACATCTCTCAAGTCTACCTATAGTAGTGTCGCCCACAGCACTAACACCCCCCATGAAAGAACTTCTATTCTTCCCCAATGAAAAAGAAATTCTTGTTTTTGAACTTCATGAAGGTCGTCTTCTCAAGCGACTCAAAGTTCCTGGTCCCACTGTTGCAGCAGTGCGATCTCGAACCGGTGAGCGAAATATCCGGAACCGTATCACGGCAATGGCGTGGAGAGAACCGGTTGATGGTATATATTCTGCTCATTCGGATGGACAGATTAGAGCTTGGATACCTAGGACTGAAGAAGACATTCGAATGGATCGTGAGGAAGAGGAGGAAGGCAAGACTCATGATGAGGATGAAGGGGGGAAGAGGAAGAGAAATGTTCTCGATGATGTTTTTAGGGATTTGACGAGACAGAAAATAAGTTTTGGTTAGGCCATTCATCTATTTCAAATGCTTCTCTCTTCTATGACTCGTTATTGCGCTTGCTTGAAAGTGTAATGTTCACTTAAATAAATCCTGTAAGGCTTAGTGGCTTCCTAGACTGGACCCTCAGACTGCACCTCGTTTGGACTTCTTCAGCGCCTCCCGATTATTCATCTCTTCTCTAATAGCTGCAGGACTCACAAGTGAATTTTTGGCCTTCGCTTGGTATCCTAAATCTGCTTCCAAACAGAACTTGAGGCTCACCAAGGGGAATTCTAGATCTTACCAGTGACTCGTTGTGCAAACTTTTCCCAAATGCGTGCTAGAGCTCAAAGAGCATTGCACACACTTCTTTCAGATCGGTTTGCTTTTAACACAGTTAGCTTTCGTATTATGACTCGAACACGTACTCCATTAACTACTATTATTTTTCGCCTCAAGCTATGAGATGTCTTTGTTTTACGTCCATAATTACCTATTTGAAGACTGGTATCTACAAGTTATAGAGAAAGGGCTTTCCAACCGCGCTATTATTATGCTAAGTCTGTTCTTGTATATCTGAAAGCCTTTTGAAGCAATTCACATCCGAAGAAACTTCCAATTTGTCTTCCCTCTGTCTCTTCCCAGTTATATGCGTGTTCTTTTGGTGCTCACAATGCCTTGCTTACAATTTACTTCAAGTACTGTCTCTTACGGAAGGAAATTGAGCTTCAGAGAAGATTTAATTGGGTCTATTACTGAGTGTATCATCTGAAGTAGACTAAGTTCTGAGTACCAATGTCTCACACGGTTGATGGGTGTGATATTGGTTTGGTAGCAGGAACTGGAAAGTTTGGGAATGTATGCATTTGCAAATTTACGGGTGCTCATTGAAACCTGTGATATCAAAGCTCACATCTCGAATTTTTCTTGGGTGATAATGCCTTGTTCCTCTAAAAACCTATTTTCCCAAATGAATTCCCCCATCAATGATAGAGTTTGTGCCAGTGGCACTCTCGCTCTCAGCTAAACAGTATATCTGTCTAGCAACCTCCTCAACGGTTGCGAGTCTTCCTAATGTGCTCTTTTTCTTTACTCCTTCTACTTTTGATTCGGGGAATTGGAGACCCCAGTCCTGTGGTGAAGTGGGTTAGCTTGGTGCTATATGTTATGGTTGAGGACAGAGGCAATGAATATTGAACTTGCAGTGAGCATCAATCCCGGTGAAACCGAGTTCACCCGTATTGTTGACGTGAGAGCTAATGACTTGATAAGATGTATCTGTGCAGCTTTCGTCACAGAATATGCCTGAAATCGCACTCGTCAGCGCTCTTGCCTTACTCGCATTTATCAGATCCTTGGGTTATGAACATACCATGGAGCTCCCTCCCGGTTTCACACCCCTAGTGTACTCTTATTAGCCCTTATTAATCTAGCAGATCCAGATCACGAGAATGCAAGTAGATGAATAAAAGAATACTCACGCAATACTAGCGGTCGATATGAAACTTCCATCGGTTTTCTCTAAATGTGGCTTCGCAGCATGGAAAAGCCACAAATGCGACTTCACATTCATGTTGAAACATCGATCCCAATCTTCTTCGACAATGTTGTCATCTAGATCTTGAAAATTGCGAATCTGAGTCCAGCCATGATTTGAGACAACTGTTCTATTAGATGAGTCCCCTTGATTTCCAAGTTCAAAATACAAATCGATTGAGAAATCGGGAAGTTTGAGATATAAACACACCAACATCTAATCGTCCCCACACCTCCACGCTCTCCTTGACCAATCTCTCCACCTCATCTTTCTTCGACATATCAGCCTTTATAGCTGCAACTACATCTTTCTCTTTGCTAGATGGTAGTGTTTTCCTGGTGGGATTTCCCAGCTCGTCAACAAGATCTTGCGCTTTGTCATGGCTGGAATTGTAATTGATGATTACACGGACGCCGTGTGATGCAAACAGTCGAGCAGTGGCAGCGCCGAGCCCGGCTGAAGAAGCGGTTATCAGGGCTACAGATGCTCGAGTTAAAGGTGCCATTTTTTAAGTTAGATTTGGATAGAAGGGTGAAGTCAAGATGGAGGGGAGTGAGGGAGGGGCGGAAATTACCCCGCTGTCATGCATGTGCCCCGCACTTTCCGATTCTGTCGTGTTTGTGATAATGCCATCTTGGGGAATTTGATACATTAATTGATTGTAGATTGTAAGCTCAAACATTTCCTCATGTTACCTCAAACCCGATGTGAATTTCATAAAGGTCTGCTAATGACCCCGTTGTTCTTCCTCCCCTCGCTTCCTACCTCACTCCCGCACTCTCAGTTTGATATAGATCTTGTTAAGTTTTCTTTCACAAACTGCTTTGGTACTAATCTATTCGTCTAGACCGATGCAAAACTACATCTCTATATTTATACTTTGATACCTATGTGGCAATATTGCGGTTCACTCTATATCATTCTAGAGAAACGCTCTGTCTAATTGGAAAAGATAAAAGTTTAACCTCAAGTCAACCAATATCTTTAAAGAGTTGAAGATTGCAAAGCTGTTTATCATATATTGATACTCTCCTTTGACGTAGTTCAAAGTGGTATAATGCAATATCTAGGACTCATCTTCATGATACTGCCCTTCCATTCAAGTCACAAATACTCATCTTAAACGTGGTTCTGAACGTGGGTTCTTTTCGCAATAGCACTTGCGTCTCCAATACTTATTCTGGTGTTGCGTGTGACGGTATCTACAGCGTAGAGTATTAGCGTAAGCTGGTTGGGGGGTTCAGCGGTTGCGCAGTCGATATATTATGTAGTATGAAGGAAAAGGCATAGACTTCGAATGGAGGGAGCGAGGCTATGGATGGTGGGAGGATGAAGATGAAATGGGAGTTCTGAACGGAGGTCCGTAGAACAGGACGGGAGAGAAGAAGGAAAATGTACAAGAGGAGTGGTGTGTGTGACTCATAGTTTCATTATAGGACCGTCTAATAAGAGAGCGAAGAGTGAAACCCCTATGAGGTGAGAATGGCTCTCTGTAGTATCTTTACTGTTGTCCAATACGACTTTGGAAGATTGCTTCTTATACCAACGTTGTGAGACTAGGGCAGGTTTTATACTATGCAAAAAAGGAATGGAAGTTGATATCAAACATTCAAATCAGATTGCAAAAAATCTAGCATGGTTTCATTAGGTTTATTTATTCTTTTCCTATATGCGAAAAAGAAAAGAAAATCGTGAGTGACATATACAAGATGATGCAGATAGATCCCGCAAAAGCCAGGCCAGCCCATAATATTTTACCCCAAAACCTGTCATATCTTTGTAGAGAGGAGTGAGCTGATTCTTTCGTAATACAGCTTACAGTCATTATGCATTCCAACGCCGTAATTTTGTGTCTGCTCGAGTCAGACGCTCAAGTAGACATAACCGTAGTCCCATTTTTAATTATACACTTTGTACATCATGATTCCTCCGCTGAATTTTTGGTTCATTACTCCGATATATATATGGAGTAAACTCCTTCATTACTCTATGCGCCGAGCAATGCTAGGTTTGCATTCCGCAAAACGTAAAACTTGTTTTACAACATTCAAGGGTTCTTGACAACCCCGACCTTGGCAGCTCTCAAGATTCTTCCGTTGAGCTTGAATCCCTTCTGTTGGGTGTGGAAAACTGTGCCATCCTCCTTTCCTGCCATAGGAGTCATGAAAGTAGCCTCGTGTTCATTTGGGTTGAATTTCTCGGACTCGACTGAAGGGTCGAATCTTTCCAAACCGTGCTTCTTCAATGTTGACATGAGGATGTTCTCGGTCATCTTCAATCCTTCGTGTAATGTGATCAAGTCTTGTTGGTGCTCATTGCGTTCTTCGGCAGAAACAGAGAGCTTCTCTGCGGGAACAGTGGTGAGAGCTCGGTCAAAGTTGTCAACACTGTCAACAAGATCTTTGGCAAATTTTTGAATAGCAAAGTCCTTGGCAGCTTGCATATCTCGTTTTGTGCGCTCTTGAAGGTTGCGGAATTCGGCGATGGAGCGGAGGAGCTTGTCCTGTGATGTGGGGTTAGCCAAATGCTCTTGAACAGGTATTTGTAATTCCTTTGCCACCGGATGAGGTTCGCAAGCTCATATCCCATGAGTATCAATACCGTAGTGTTCGGCATAATGAGTGTAAAGCAGTAGTATAGAAACAGATCAATAATATTGGATTGAGCACAAACCTTTAATTCAAGAATTTCCTTGTCCTTTGCCTCCAAAGCCTTTTTTGATGGATCTTCTACTTCAGCATCCTTCTTCTCTGCTGCTGGTTCATCCTTCTTGGCCTCTGGTTCCGTAGCATAGAATCTCCTTCCTTGGAATTGCCTCGACGCAACTTGCGCGGCCAGCGAAGTATTATTATGGAATTGAGAACGCAAAGGTTGTCTTGTGGCTGAGCTGCGAAGGGAAGAGCTCAAAGCTCGAGATGATTGACGGAGTAATGTTCTTGAGTTCATTGTGTCGTCGTTGTGAGGTATGATACGAAGGCAAATCGAGTAAGTGAGCACCAAATTTTTTGATTGATGGGAGATATCGGGATGGAAATTTTTAGGTTGGTTTTTGGCGGTGTAAGGTGGCAGTAAACGACCATCATCTGACGACATTTGAGTTGCCTCGCTTCGCAACTGAAGTAGAAGTTAGTCAACAACAATCAAATTCATCTCAATTGAAGACAAACATGAAAACAAAGTCGGAATACCCGCAGAAATATGGAACTATAGCATATATTCTATGTATGCATCCAACCATTTTACAGAATCACAATGTGGTTGGGTAATTAGGGATAGAATGGGTGTGCATTCCTTTCTTGACCGGCCTGCTGCATCAGAATGGTTGAAATGGAGAGCCATATAGGCACAGACATATGGAGTTCATATGAGTTAATATGCTCTCAAGATGTGTCATATAGGGTTATGATAACTGGTTTCTAATACCTCCAGAAAGTCTATGCAGTTCTCTCTACACAACAAAGTCTATTTTTTTATCTTCATATGCTTTCAACCAGACCATTCCTGGGACTATTCCTAGGCTGTTTCTATCGAGAGACTTTGTGAACGTCCTCTTTGAAATACAATCATTATCTGGCCAACTTCTTCAGTTCTTGTTATCACGTGCTCGGGCTTCAAGGGTTTTGAGGTTAAAGTGATGTCAAAGTAGGGAATGCCAAATATACATAGGAATTTCTGAATCTAGTGAGCATCTGATCAAAAGGGTGATGCTAAAACTGTAGAGTTTAGATCTGTGACAAGAAGAATTAATCAGGATACCCATCTGCAGATGGATTCCATATGCCGCAGTTCATCAGGCAACATATAAAAACTTCACACAACTTTCTCCATCAGATTGTCATCTAATCACTCTTTGTGTTTCCCACCAGCAGCCGTGAAAATCATTGCATTCTTCATCATAAAAGATTGCGATTGTTTTGGAAGCATATACAAACAGACAGCAACCATTATCTAGATAAATACGACTATAAATACAACTACAACTGCGCTTAGTATCAACTTTCACTTGATCTGGACCTTCACTTTCACCTTCAACACTTCTCCTTTAAATTGCCGAGATTGCCAACATCATGGAAGGCCGATAACGGCCATAATTGCTTGAAAATTAGAAGTCACAGTTTCATTTTAATTTTCAATCATACTGCCAACCTACCTAGGTAGGTACGAATTGAATTGAATTGAATTGAATACCGAGTATCCACCCGACTTATATTCACTCTCTCGGTTACACAACCTTCAAATACAATACTTGAATTGGTAAATTTGAAAATCTCTTTCGAAAGATAAACCTTTCGACCCAGATCAACATCAGTTCTCTGGAGAGTTCTTATCATCGAGACATTTCTCTTCTCTACTTAGTACCAACATTTACTGATTTCCTGTAAATTTTCCCTGCAAAGAGAACAGAGATGGAGTCAAAAGAAAATAAGCTACCATGTACGTTATCAATCCAGAAGAATCCAGCTGCCTTTCCACGTGGGGCATTGGGATGCTCGAGGATCTGATTGAGTATCAATCTCGGACAAGAACCCGATGTAACAATATCAAATCGACATTGATAACAAACCAGACTCTCAAGCTCCTTACTACTCCATGTGGAATCTTTTGGATTTGTACTGACCTTTTGTTCTTTGATAGGTAGCAGCCAGACTAGTACTCCTACAAACACAACCTCTCCCAATTCTCCAAAAGATGATTCTTTCGGTAGATTGACTGCAAGTATCTTTCCATCTTAATTTCATTTTCTTCTCATCGTGCAGACCTCTATTTTGATTTGAATTTAATTTTGTATTTTCAGACTTCACACCTTGAAATCCTGAGAAGTGGCACTATTCCAAACCGCGGCCATTTAATTTGCCCTGAACGAACTATCACTGACTTCTCTTCAAGCGTCAATCATCCATTCGAACACAGACCGATAAGACTCTCCCTCTTCGTAAGATGAGCCAGGAATTCGACGCATTTTCTCAGAAAGTTGGTATAACTTCCCTTGAAGAAGCAAAGCACCACCTTCAAAACCTTGGTCCTGTACCTACACTTCCCGAGTAAGTCTTGAACTTTCCATAGTTTAATCCCTTCACTCGTTTTAGTCGTCATTTTGTTGCTTCGCCAATCATTGGAGCATGAATATATTTGTACTTCTATCTGTTTCACTACGGGTGACTACGATATTGTTTACATTTCCTTGTTTGGCGAATTTTCTACAAAATAAATTATGTTTTCGCAGAGCAACTTTTCTCTTCACTCTGCATCAACTACTCGTTCCGGACGATATCTCTCTACGCTGCGTTCCCACTACTTCTGTCTCTTCGATAGCTACTCTTACCCGCGTCCTTATAAACTCACTTTCGGTTATCAAGCATAGCTAACCCCTTCAAATAGTCCCGCGGAAATTGAAAATCGCAAATTGGTAGAGCAAGAGGAGAACAAGATCATCCAAGAGGAGCACAAGTCCATCAGACGTGATTCCGTGAGCTTTTTGAAGCGTCGCACTTCTGAGCGCAAGACCAACCTCGCCACACCAACTTTGACAATCACAACCGAAAGCTTGAGAAACTCGCCAATGCTTTCTCCAGCAATCTCTCCAGCACGCTCCCCAACACCACCCGATTCTGCTGTGACACTCATGGAACTGGCAGCTTCAATTTTGGGTTCGAGTTGCACTGCAAATATGGTCGCCTCCCCTGATACTCTTCAATCTGGTAAAGAGCAGACTGTTTCAGTCCGCGATACACCTATCACAGCGTATGCTGGACCTTTTGGCATTCGCAACCTTGTTCTGACTCCAATTGAGCAAGCAAATACTACCAGCCAAGGCCAAGCAGATGAGTATGCTGCTAAGAACGTTACGTCACCTTCTAGCGGATCAGCTACACCTGTATTTCCTCCTCGTGTCTCCAGCATGGCCCCACCCCCACCAACTGTCGTCGCTAGCTGGGTAGGTGACGGGTATACTTCGAATTACGGAACTCCACCAACTTCAGCTGCACAGACAGTGGGAGCACACCCTTGGCAAAAGAAAACTGCTAGCTTTACAGTTACTCCTATTATCCCTTCTTCTAGCCAACCGGACACTCGTAAGTTTTCCCGTTCGTTTGACATCGCAATTTGTATTTCCTATTACAATACTTCTCAGCTCTGTCTTTTCTCTCTTCTATATATACCAGGCCAACCCTAATACAACTACTCAGTCAAGTGGTTGTCTGTTGCCTCAGTTGATTCCTCTCACACTTCTATAGCTGGTAGTCGCGAGTCTACTTCAAATCTTATCTCTAGCAGTGATGGCTCCGAGTTTGAGTTTGGCAAGAGAAGTGCTAATAATAGTCCTGTTGCAGAAATGGAGCTTGAACGCAAGAAAACCAAACCTGATACCCCTGATGCTGATGCTGATGGAGTCGAGAGCTCTGATGGTATCAGCGGTGTGCCTCCACAACAGTAAAGTGATGCTAGGACGTCGATGGCGGACAAGTGGATCAGATCAACCTGCACGGCCAGGCTTTTTCAACTACGACTCTTCTGACCAACTTTACTTCCTCAGTCGTATTCCGTCAACCGATCTGGCCTTTCGTAGACCTAATGTTACCGTCACGACTCTTCTTTTACACCTGCGACATGTCTTTTCAAGCGATATACCCCCGGCGTTGGGCGCGTTCGATTTTCAAACTTTACGACCTCCATCTAGCTCTCAGCTTACTTCTGCGGATGCTAGATAGAATTTCGGTGGATGAGTGTCATTTTCTTTTCATGCGATCTTTGGGTTCTGATTGGTGGCCTTGATTTTCTCTGATTCCCACACTTGATGTATTTCTGGGCAGGATAGACAAGATAAACAGAATACGTTGTGGCTTTTGTGCTTAACCTCGCTTGATTCACAGCATAGGATGGATAGAACAAAATCTACGTTATATCCAACCAAAGATTCATAGAGATTGAAGATCTAAGGAAATCAGATTCGATATGTTGAAATTCACCAGAAAGTAAGAGTGTCTAGAAATTTCTACTTTGCGTCTGAGTGACTGCTGTGAGAGTGGCTCCCCACAAGCATGAATATTTGGAATTAGAATCTACCAAAGGAGAGAGTATCTCATCGGAAATGAGATCGGGTTTATTTCTACATGCAACAACAATCAAATCACCCGCCCGCATATCCTCCTCCCTTCTGCATCGCTTCCCGTTCCAAATCCCAGAACCCCAGTATTTTCCAAACCACCCATACCACCAGTCTAAATAACACCTTGATCCTCTCAAGCTCAAACTCACTCAAAGTTTCAGACCGTGCAGGAAGTTCCTCATTCCTCATCCCCTATCAACTAATCTTCCATAATTTTCGCAGCACCACCCCCTCTTTCCTCTCCCTTTAGCTCTCTTCCCTTCACATTCCCTACCATCAAATTCTACCTACTCAAAACTTGACATCCCCCCCACTATGTTTCCATTATCTTTTCCCGAACTACGGAATTCAGCTAAGAAAGCAGCGAGATATCAGGTCAACTAATCAATACTGTTATGTTAACAACTACAGCCAATACAGTACACATTGGAGCCATCCATCATTCATTCATCAATAGACTGCGAGATAACGAAACTATTACCTAGATATGTGGAAATGTGCTTTGCTGTAGAACGCTCGTTAATGCTAGATGTTACGAATGATGTTCGAACAAAACCGATAATAACAACGTAAGCATAGAATTTTAATGTCGACACCGCCACATAAACCTACTACTCTCCAATCACTACGCCGGCAATAGCAGTTCAAAAAAATGCCAGGAGTGCAAGGGTTGTAGTCCATAACTGCTCACTTGGGTCATGTGGAAATTCCTATCTCTTTCCCTGTCTAGGTATACATCTACAATCATCTAACTTACCAAAAGCACAAGTTTAATAGAACAATTTAAAATTCTTCTATCTACTACAATGAACTCCACCGCGCAAGTAGAAAGTAACTTCTCAAGAAGTACTCCTACTAGCCCCATGAGTTCAGTACAGACGAAAGCCTAAACTACGCTGTCGGTGACCCATGAAGGTGCAATCTCTTTTTGTTTCCCGCTGTATTGTATTCATACCACCTAAGTATCACTCATAGCCAGTGAAGATAGAACCCATTCCTAATATGTGTGACCTTTTATGTGACGAATACGGATTAAAAACTCCTGAATTCACTATGCTTGCTTCCATCTGAGACATCATGACTTTCTCCTGGAAAGAAAATTTTCGTCGCATACTGTTTGCAGACATATGCGCTGTGTGAAGATCACAAATTTACCCCCATGTATGAATCTCTCCTCTCCTCAAAAATGAAACGAAAGTATGTCGGATCGCGCTGAAATCCTAATGTTGTGACGGTGAAGGGCGTGTAGCAAGTTGAGTAGGCAAAATTTTGTACTATGGCTCACGATGACATTGAATAGAATGACCAACAACCAACATGCTTTTCGAGATATCCAACGTCTTAGCATCCGATATCTAGACCAATTCCTCAAACTCTGATCGACTCAAAAGATATTCAATGAGAGACCACTCCGACTCGAAATCGAATTTGTCAGATCGTGCGCTCTGCATGTCAGCGTTAAAACCGAATTCTAGATCATATTGATGTTGGAATTCATGAAATACAGTTAATCGATCTTCTGTGTGTGGGAAGCAATCAAAGGATTCATCGTCAGAAAGTAGATCCTTGATGAGTCTATACAAGAATTCATTGACAGCGTAGTCGTGGTCGTGACTCAATCTAAAGCAAGATTCAAGGCATCGATCGACCGCTTGCAACATACGATCGTTAGGACGAAACTTGATCGTACAGATGACTGTACTGTCCAGATTCATGCGATTGTTGTTACTTGTCAAAGCAGATTTGAATACAAAATAACTACCGGTCTTCTTGGTGGCCTCGATTGCATCTTGTTCTGGAAGAGTGGGTAAAGTGTTGTTTTTGCGAGCCCATGCTTTATGAACTTGTGGAAATGGTCCGCTACGACAGTACATTGCGAAAACTTTTTGACGGTAGGCATAGATTGACTTCTTAAATATAGTTCCGAACGTAGAAGGAGCTGCGAGAATACCAGTGTAATATATTTGATATGCTGTTGGGCGACCAATTGTAAATGTCTCGGAGTCATCCACAATATCTTGACAGACATCGGCATGAGCAAGGCTTTCTGCTAGAAGACATGCTATCGAACAATATTTGATACCACTATCGGGACCACAGCCATAGCATAGGACCATAGGACTGTCTATTGTAGCATGATGATGATCATTGCAATAAGTACAGTCAAAGGGTATTCGAGCTGTGTCTGGCTCCGTGTGTGTACGTGGACCCGAATTGATAATGGTACTGCTTGATAGTTGTTGTCGACTCCAACCATTGGAAAAGTCAGATAATTTTTGTCCTGCAGCGTCACAACTTGCTACACTTGCCTGCCGAGCAGGTGTTTGGCTTCCTAGAGGGGCAGCTTCTGTAGGATTCAAGTGTAGGGAATCCAAATCCATCAAAGATGGGCGGAAGCTTCGAGGTTGTGGCCCATGAATAGTTAATGTAGAGCTAGCAATTGCAACAGGCTCACTGGCAGGTATCGGAGCGGTTTCCATAGATAGCGGGGTGTCTTCATTGCCAGCACAAGCCTCTGAGACGAATGCTGTTGCAGCTTCAGATGCGTCATTGACAATGTCATTCACAGATACGCTATCAGAGACTGGTGAGGTACCGATTGTAGGAGCATTTACAACAGCGTCATTAGAAGATGCAGTATTAACAGCACGCAGATCGTGGACTGATCCGAATTTACCAGTAGCAGAACCCAGTGATATTGCTAATGGTAGCATACGTGGATACACTCTTGAATTGGAAACTTTAATAGAACTATCCACTATCGACTTCGTGATTGTAATCTCAGAAACGGACGCAGGTCTATCGATAAAGATACCAGGATCAGAGTTTTCCTCATCATCGTCAAACATAGAGGGACCCGAGGTAATCATGGCGTTAGTTGAAGAACTTCGGAATCGTTTTTCGACTATCTGGTCGTGGTCATCGAAATTGTCTAGATAGATTGGTGCATCACGACTCAAAGTAAGCCCAGGAGGTGTTTGACAATCAGGTGATGAATTTCTCGGCAAAATTGTAGTGATATTTTCGACCTCGGGCTCGGTGCCTATTGTACTAGTAGAGCCATCCTTTATGACGCTATATTCGATAGATATCGCTGCCTTGATTTCATCGATTAAGCTTCGAGGGGGCTCAGCGTCTGTAGAAATACCGATTGTAGCGAATTCAAAGACATCTTCAGCCGAATCTTCAATAGGGAGACTGGCTTGTTTTGTCGAAGGTACAGGTGATAATATGACTGTTGCTGATTGAACAGAAATCTTTGATTGATCGTGATCAATTTCAGCTTCAATACTAGCCCCGATATCAAGGTCTATACTTGGTAGAAGAAATTCTTCTGGCAGAATTGTAGACTCTTCTTTGGCTGGAGTTTCTGAGGGTGCCTGTGGCAAAACCTCCTGTACCGTTACGACCGTAGACCTCTTTTTGGTAGATCCAAGAGTTTGTTGTACGACATTCTTTGAAGGTGAGATCATTTCCGGAAAGTCGTTTAAGCTCTTGATCTCAAACTTCTCACCGCTCTTTGAAGTAGCGGCCGTAGTCTGAGTTGATACCTTTGTGGGTACCTTTGTCTTCTTTCGACTAACGCTATAACTGGGTGGGACTTTGGCAATGACGGAACTATCTTTATAAGCTTTGGAAGAATGAGCTGCACGAGTCTGTTGGGTAGCCTGTGGGCCCTTTGGCTTACTAGGCTTGGGCTTCACGATCTCCCAATTTGAGTCATCCTCGATTACTGGATCCGTAGCGTCGTCGAAATGGTAATTTAATGGGTCAGATGCAATGGAAGGAGTTGCCTTGTTAATGATCTCAGAAGTTTGACTTCTGGCTTCCGCCACTGTAGACTCAGGGTCGATTTCCTGCTTCAAAACCTTCTTTGCGTTATTCTTACCCTTTGTCTTCTTCTTCTTCGTCTTTCTTGGCGCTGTCTCTGTCTTTGGCTCTGAAATATCTAGAATTAACAGCGGTGAAGTAGAACGAGGTGAAAACAAATTGCCTCCATTGTTAGGTGTACCAGGAGTAGCGGCCTCAACGACTGTGATTTCCTCGACATGCTCATCTAATGTCGGAACGGTACGTATATGAGTTACAGACCAGGTTTCCGATCCCATTATTGAGTCCAATCCATGGATGTTGATATCTTGAACAAAATCCTTCAAAACACTTCTAGCTGCAGCTTCTCCTGGTTCCTCCTTGTTTCTCTCCAAAGTGTTGAGTTTATGAAGGCATTCATGATACCTTGAGGAACGTCGAACATCCGTACCCTGGACTTTGGCAACTGTGAAACTTGACTTTTCCATGCGTTTATCCTTCTCTACACGAATGAGTGCATTTTCAATCTCGTTCATTTGGATAAGTTCGATGAGGAAAAGGTCCACAATTGGTTTGAGTCTGGCGGATTCTATGCCCTCGGCCCCTCCATACAGGTTACGGTGAAGATTCTGCCTGGATTCACCCATATCAATTGCTGTAATATGAAATAGCTTGGACGCTGAACCCTTTTCTACAGAGGGTATATCCGGCTCAGTCAAATGAGCGTAGTACTCTGCATTTTGAACCTCTTTTCCAGAGAAAAAATCATTTGCTAAAGCCCGAAACTCATAGGAGTTGTGCTTCATTCCACTTTGAGGGAAAATTGTATCTAATCATTATTAGCAGCTGCAAGATTCCATCATGAATAATTACTCAGACTCACGATATAAGACCTCCCAGGCCAATGTATCTCTGTTTGTTTTATTGTATCCCCTAAACCAATTTCCCGCCTCCGTGCTGATCTCGTATGGAACTATGAAAGGAGCATGTACGCCCAATCGAACTGCTCGTGAAAAGATTGCTGGATTCCAGCCCTAATCAATTGCTTAGTAAAATATTAGAAACCGAGATTGAAGGTTCATGACATACCCAATGAAAGAATTCACGGCTTTCAGACTTAATGGTTTCTTCCGCCATTTTTTCCTGCGAAGTAAGCCACGAAAGAAGGCTATTCGTTCCTGCTACTGGATGTGGTTCGAAATATTGATATCTTTGGAGAATAGGTTCGCGCTGATCGAAATTAACAAGTCTTCCTACAAGATCTCCTACTAAACTTATATTTCGAATGTTGAGTAACTGGAAGAGGCCAGGATTGTTGGCATTTAATATGTTAGCTATGGTCGTTGCTGTTGTGCTTTTATCAATTGCTGGAAGCTCCTGCCGATCTTGACTGAGAATACATGTTAGTATTTGGTGGCAAGAGCGAGAGTTCTGCAGCTTGAAGTAGAGCGAGTTTCGAGAGAGAGAGAGAGAGAGAGAGAGAGAGAGGGAAGGAAGAGAATGTGATGTTTACTGACTCTTCTACTTGCTTGAAGACCTCTTCAACTGAGCCAGAATGAACAGTTGTGGTTTTTGATGATATGCTTCCGTGTTTTACGGGACTAGAATGTGTCGAATTACTCAAAATCTCGAGGTTTTTTGCGGTTAGAGGACTTGAAGTTTGATCGTTAAGATTTGAAGTGTTTGAATTGATCAATTCAGTGCGTGGTACAATTGGATTGTCCCAAACATTATCTGTTTTAGAGGACTGAAGATTAGCCTCTTCTGGTGTTGATGAATTGTTGTACTATTTGATTTATTAGAAAGAGAAGAGAAGAATTTTGTTAGAATAATTAAAGCTCTGGTTTAAGGTAGGATGGTAACAATCTCTGTGGGGATGCCGACTAAGCAAGAAGAGTTTCTTCAAGATCACTCTCACCCATTGACCGGCCGACCAGTATGGCAACAGAGTGTGAGAAAGAAAAAACAACTTTCTTACCATCATATCTATATCTATCAGTGAGTCAGTCATGGAGACTGGGGATTTTAGTCTTGGAAATCTCATGGTTGAGCATCGAGTTTGAACGTTTTTGTGAGGAGGGGAGAAAAGTTGTTAAGAAGGTGGAAGAGCAAAGTTATCAATAACTTCGCTTCGAGGTATCTAATTGATGAGCTGTGTTGGAACAATAGTCACCAATCCCAAAGGGGTATCGCGTGCTTTATATACTGCTACTGCTACTGCTACTGCTACACTGTATAAAAGAACAGAGCTTCAACAACCAACAAGAATGAGATTAGATGAAATTCTATGCAGGTACATATCTTTCTTTACTGGACTCATTCTCTTCAATAGACAACTTTTTGTTACATTGGCTCATTACCATATTGAACACCCTACTTGACAATTCTCCACCAAACAAATGAGCAATAGACATTAACCAACAGACAAGGATGAGATTCAGTGGTACCTTTGCCTTTGCCTTGCTTTATCAATATTGTCATTATGTTCACAATCAATCTTCTCACATAGTACACAGTGCTCTTACCTATGTGTGTGCCAGATCAGAGCCTCATTTGGAAGCAAAGAATGTGCAGCAGATAGAAATAGAATACATTCATGCTTTCCCATTGTCAACTCAGCTGAAACTTACAATTACAACTATCAACCATCTCCTTTAACCCCCCATATAGTCCTTTTTGTCCGATACTTCTGAAAGGTTTTCCATCATCACATCTCTACTACGTGGATTTTAGACCTGAGGAACATTGTACTTTGTACAATTTAGGGAAATATGTCTTTTGAAAGTACCCAACCTTTGTTGCTTGAAGATACATTGAATCATACATGTTGCAAGTACTATTTCAATATTCTCGATCCCAGTACAACAAATGAAAGCAAACTCTGATGGACAATAGATGGACAAGAAAACAGTGGAAATAATGGGTTGAAATGGGGACACGATCATTTTGGCATCAAATAGCCTCATTATGTGAAGTCTTGACCACGATCTTTATTAACATGTCTCTCCCCCCCTCCCTCTGGTAGATTCGCAATATAGGCATATGACTTCCCAACTATCAAGCTCACCACCAGTTATCCATACTTGATCATACTTGCCTGTAGGAAAAAATGAGAGGCTCTGTGTATTGTGCTATATTATGGCAACTGCCAATAAATATAACTCATTGTGAATCCCTAGATGAGAAGAATCAAAGGGGAACCATAAAACTTGTATGTTGAGTGATGAAATGCATCTGATTTACTAAGTAATGGCTTCTGATACTTATTGTCCTCACAAGACTCACATACTATAACTTTTCCAGCAATCAATAATGAAGCAAACAGATACCACAACTTTTACTCACCTAGAAAGCAATGTCACTTTGTTAACGATACATCGTATGCATGATTCATAAACAAAGGGGGGTGTTTACCACTTTCATGGTCTGATATGATTGTTCCTTTAATAGAGTTTGCCATCTATGCCAGATCATTCCACCTTTCCCTCCTTTCTCCCTCGTCATGTTCTCCTATCCAAAAGGATCCCGTCGTAATGTTTGCATGCTGGACCAAAGGAATCTTTTATTAACTATCTACCAGCGATGTAAAACCGGAAAGTAAATATCACCGCCGTAGATTATATAGCCATGATATGATGAAAATTGAATCAACTGAAGTGAAGTGAAGAAGGAAAGTGAAGTGACGTTGAACTATCCTGAACGAACCAACTTACATAATCAGTCATGTGATCAAAGCAGAATTTCAGCACTAGCTTGAGACTAATCTCGGACTAGGCTGAACGCAGATCCTCGATTTTTTTTGCCATTAGTATGAGCAAGCGCATTCGATTATTCTGAACTTGCATGACTTTATTTGTTCCTTCAAACTCCCCAAAGGATCAACAATCTAACCATCAATTATCATAACATTTGTCAAAGACACAAACTGCCATTTCCTTTGATCTGCTTGTCGTGCATTTCATTAATACAAAAACTCCCTTTTCACGACACAACCTGATCTTCAAAAAGATCTCTACGTTTACCTTCTCATTTCTGAGCCTAGAAATTAAAGAAACAATGGCCGATCAACCCAGCATCACATCTATCCTGGCTGCTTTGGGTAAATTTTCTCTCCCAGACATCAAAGGGGAAATTCGAAACTAACTTTTTTTCAGCAGCGCAGCGTCCCAATGCGACCCCTCCGCAGAATCAGCAGCCTGCATACCAGCCTCCCCAGCAACAGCCAAACCCCTATGCACAAACTGGCGGCTACTCTCTACCTCAACCTACAAACTCGGGCAGTGTCGATCTCAGCGGTATCAAGCCTGTAAGCTCCGGAACTGTTAGTATTCAAGATGCCATCGCAAAGGCGAAGGTAATTGCTGCTGAAAAGGGTGTTGCCTACGACAGAGCTCAATCTTACGTTGGACAACCCCCCATGCCTTCCGGTAGACCATACAGCCCAAGATCTAGATCCAGATCGCCACAGCCAACACGTCGCGATGCTTTTCGCGATAATTTCAACCCATATCGCGATGAACGACGAGGCCCACCAGGAAGAGATTATCGCGAACGTTCATTCTCTCCTGGAGTACGAGGCAGAGGCCCACCGGAGGCTTTCCCACCGCCACATGGAGGCGCAGGTGCATATGCTCGTGAACGTTCTCCAATACGCGGCGCAGAAGATAATGTTGAATCGATCTCAATCGAGTCGAATCTTGTGGGGTTGATCATTGGTAGACAGGGCGAGAATTTAAGAAGAGTGGAATCAGAAACTGGTTGCAGAGTACAATTCATCACTGGCCCTGATGAAACAGGTCCTTTCAGAACCTGCAAAATCACTGGTCCTCGTGCTCGCAGAGCGGATGCCAAGGCTGAAATTACTCGCATTATCGACGACAGTGGTTTGGGCCCACTCTCAGACCGAGCTCCAAGAGAACAGAATGCCACCCGAGATTCATCACATCAACCCGCATTGAGAGATGGCGAGGATAGTATGCAAATCATGGTTCCGGATAGAACAGTTGGTCTTATTATCGGCCGCGGTGGAGAGACGATCAGAGATCTTCAAGAGCGAAGCGGCTGCCATGTCAATATTGTTGGAGAGCAGAAGAGCGTCAATGGACTTCGACCAGTCAATCTCATCGGTACTCGAGAGGCCGCTGCCATGGCCAAAGATTTGATTATGGAGATTGTCGAGAGTGATAGTAAGAGCGCACCAAAGGAGCGTGCACCCGCCCCAAGAGAGAACAATCGTGACGCTGGCTATGGCGGTGGTTATGCTAGTGGTGGTGCTAGCGGTGGTGGTCAAGGAGATAAGATCAATGATTCAATCTTCGTACCTTCCGAGGCTGTAGGCATGATCATCGGCAAAGGCGGCGAAACGATCAAAGACATGCAGAACACGACTGGTTGCAAGATCAATGTAACCCAGTCTTCGGGACCAGGTGAGGTCGAACGTGAAATTGGCCTTGTAGGTTCCCAGCAAGCTATAGCAGCTGCCAAGCGAGCCATTGAAGATAAGGTTGATGCTGTGGTAAGTTAAATCATTATTTCTCGTCTTCGTAACACCTTCTAACTTCTAGAAGCAACAGAAAAACAATGGCGGTGGTGGCGGCGGTCATCGTAACAACCGTGGACAACAAAATCAACAGAACGAATATGGAGACCGTGGCTATTCCCAACAATCATATGCCCAACCGCAAGGACAACAAGGACAACAGGCTCCCCCAAGTGGTGCCGACGACCCATATGCAGCTTGTAAGTTTCAACCCTCATCAACCTCGAACTTTACTGACAAAATCAGATGGTGGATACGCCAACTATGCACAGCTTTGGTATCAGGCATTGGCCGCGCAAGGTCAAGGTGATACAACCAAGCCGCCCGGAACTTCGTAACTTTACGACAGTGATTACCAGCCGTAGGATGATTCGACATTTGACTTGCATGATTCGTATGACTTGCATGACATACGCTGAGACCATGACGTTCGATTCATTTTCATCGATATAGTATGCCTGCATTGCACATGATGACGATGACCGAGAACCTTCGTACTCTTTCATTACTGGCCTAATATTGGTATACTTTCTTCACTGAGTTGATCACGCAGCCCAGGATACTCTAACTTATGGATACACGATATAGTATGCACTACCTACTACGTTTACGATTTTTGATCATGCTTCATCAAACAAAATTCCGGAGAAGAAAACCCCCAAAAAATGATATCGACGAACCAGATCTTATCTATTTGTAGATGATGACCAAACGCGTGCCATCTACTTTGCGCTGTGCAATGCAATTGATCTTGACAATCTGCTTTTGCTTGACAACCATGATTTGGGCTTTTGGCACTGGGTATGATCTGCTTGCAATCTTGATATTCATGCATGAACGTCTTTTTTCAATGGCTCCTATTTACAATTGTCCTTGATGCTCTGGTCAGCACAATCACTCTTGTCGGTGCAAATATCGACCTTGAACTTCTTGATTCAGATGTGAGGCTCACGCGAGCAATTCGGTTTGGCTGGTGAGCATGGTCTGAGTTGGTCTGGAAAAATTTCGATTTAATGCTGCATGCATGACTTGATCGCAACAGATGATACTGATAACTTGCTTGCTTTGCTGAGTAACTTTGAACTTTTGGCTTCTGCTATTGCTTGCTCGCTCCGTGGATAACTGCGCCACCAATGGTCAATCGAATATGCCTTTACTTTCTTACTTGCGCTTGATGGATACCACTTATCGGATAGGCATTATTTGGATTGGTGTGTGGGATGGATGGTGGGTAATACATACAAAAAGTCATTAATGGACAGGAGTGGCGGATGGGGTTTATCGATTGGTAATGTTTGTAAGATAGCTACAATAAAAAATTGTTTATTATGTTTGAAGAGTTTCTGTAGATCAATTGCTTGGTTGGGTCCTACGTGTGGACGACCGGAAATGTATCTTGACAACTTACGAGTGTTGATGGATCTTTGTCTTCATGATGGGAGGCACTCAATCGTCGGAGGTTTAAAGTGGGATCGTTCCAAGATTTGTTGCCACTGTTCTGAATA